CGGGGAACGAGATTGGTCATAAAGGTGAAAATCTTGGTAATGTTTCTGTGAGGAATCTCAGATTCAAATTTGAGCTAAATATCTTGAAAACACTTCTCACGCCGCCATTTTTGGGGTACTTTTTTGCGAATCCTGCGAGCGTAAACCGCGTAACGGCGACATTTTATAATTTTGTGGGGGTATGCATGATGGTAAATTTAGTCTGTAAATAGTTAGTTTGTTCTGAAATATTGCTTTTCACATTGTTAAAATCATTTATACGAAAAATTACACTACTCCAAAAATGGCGGCGTGAGAAAGGCTAATTTCATTTATGAATAACGCACGACTTTTGAAGTATAGTTCTTCTAAAAAAGGCAACCTACTGCCCCTGTACTGCCTCCGCATTGTTTGTTCCATGAGAGCAGCTGCTGCCCCTTTGGCTGCAGTGCCCCTGGCTGTTCGCTGCCTCGCTCCTTCTAAAATGATTTTGACGTGTAAACATGTATAGTTGCGCATGTACACTATACCCATGTTTATGTAATTATGTTTCTTACTAGAAATACATGCATGCCGCAACCTCTCGCCTATATTTTCCAAACATTGCTTTAACCTGAAGTATTGGTAACTGGCCAACAAAGAACGCAGGCTCGCGTTGTGCGTCAAGTTTTGCCATGCATAAATAATACGATCAATCGATCATCTTCAAATGTTCAAAAATGTTTATATTCTTTTGTACCAAATGGCGAAAATAATTGAAAGATTGGTATTTTTAACTATACTATGTCAAATTTAATGTAAAATTTAAGCTGGAACGATAAGTAAAATGTTTTGAAATGTTCATTCAACTAAACTGCTTTTGCCAATAAACTGTTTTTATTAACTTTCTAACAAAACAAAATAAGTTTTGTGCATGCATAGTTGAATAAGTTTTATGTTGTTATAATAAAGCGCCGTTCCCTTGGCACGGAACGGCGCTTTATTATAGGAAATTACACAGTAGTTCCGTGCATTTGGCTATTCTGGGTAATTGGCAAGTACACATGCATCCACGAAATTTAGAAACACTCCCAAAATCTACAATCTAGACCCTGGATAATGTACGTCATATAAGACTATTAGCTTTCATGAAAATCTACAACGATTATATTTCAGTGTGAAATGAGTGTATAATTGCATCATATTTATGAAAGGTACGATCATTCTAATAATTTTTTATCTCTTTTGTAGATAGTTACACAGAAAGAAAATAAATGGCCTAGATTTTGCACCACGATGGCAGTGAAACCATTTTCGAAGGAACAATTGAATTTCTTTAAGTTTTCTACACTTGTTCTTGATGAGTTTCCCAAGGTGTTGCGTCAAATTTTTATCACCATGTGGGACAGCAAGGTTGGTGTAAGACCAGGATTCGTTCCATGGGATGACAGTACTAAGGTACGGAACATGCTTCTTAAAGCTGAAGGTGGTAAAACAGATATACCAACTACGAAATCAATTGAGGAGTGGGACTGTACAGCTTTGTTTAAAGCAACAATCTATGCCAAAACATTTGGTGTTCCAGGCAGCAAGGGATCAACTTTGAATCATTTATATTTAAAGAAAGTTAAACCACCTTCTGTTTCTTTTCATTCATCAGTTCAAAGTTCAACAGGAAATCAAGATGAGACCTACGCCTTGGCAATTGATCAGCTAAGATTATTGAGAAACACACTTCGCCATTCACCAAAACCAGAAATAGTCAAAACTGATTTTGATAATTATGTACAGCTGGTAACCAACGCTTTAACAGCAGTTAATGTTGATACTGCTTTTGTTGATACTATTGGTCAAATGAGCGAGGATGATTTCCCTACAGAGCAAGTTCAAGGACTGCGTGAATGTCTTTTGAATGAATTAAGAGTCATCAGTGTGTCTCGTGAGAATATGGAGCAGAAATTGTCCTGTATTGATGAGCGAACAGAGAATGTGGAGGAGAAATTGTCCTCTATTGATGAGCGTATCGAAAAAATAAAGAATGTGGAGGAGAAATTGTCTTTTGTTGATGAACGAATGGATAAAATCCATACATTGATGAAAAATATGAGTTTTGGAGAGAAGACAAATATACCAGGTAATGTTAAATATACAATATGCAATGTATTAATTTTGATTAATTTTAAAGCGTTTTTAAAATTCGTTTTTAATTAATGGCTTTTAGAATGCAAAAAATATAGTAATAATTGTAATCCAACAATAAGATGCTTAATTGGATTACTTTTTAAAAAAAAACATTTATATGAGAATTTTCCTTCAAATATATAAAAATCAGTTTGAAATTTGGTGAATCTACCAGCTTCTCAACAAGAATTGAGAAGCGCGCAAGTTTTAGGGGGTGGCCACTGTTGATACATTTCTATTCAGACAAAGTTTGTCTTAAGTTATAAAACATTTCCCATTAATATTAGTTAGTAGTAACCTCGTTTTTAACGCCGGAAAAATCGATTAATTAAACTCATATCATTAAACCTAGAAACATTACCCAAGCCATTTGTTCCAAGCCCTGTTCGATTATTTACTGGCAGAGAAGATGAAATTGAAGAAATCAAAAATCTTATAACTGGTCAATCAACACGACTGTTAAACATCTGGGGATCTCCTGGATTTGGTAAAACATCTACAGCTATTGAAGCAGCACGTCGTCTTTTGTCTCTCGGCTTACCTGTTTATTTTTTTAAATTCGAGCGCATTAGAACAGTAGATGAATTTTTATCTAAAATTTTAAGTATTTTTAAGAGTAATTTAGCAGATCGTAGTTTAAAACCTACTGACAAGCTAGTAAGTATTCTAAGAGAAATTTCGTCTCGAATTTTTCTTATATTTGATAATCTTGATGATCTTCTGTCGAGTGAAAGCAGTTCCGTTAGACTTGAGAGTTTATTTGGACAATTATTAGACAGTAATGTTAACGTTAATGTAGTTTTTACAACGAGGGAGCTTTTAGAAAATATGAACGATTTAATAGAATTTTTTCGAGACATCCGAATTCGACCCCTTCATCCAGTTTCGTCTGTTGAATTTGTTCGTAAACTTCTTCCTTCATTTTCTGAAAGTGTTGTTGCAAATGTGGCTAAGATTTCGTCCAACGTTCCTCTGGCAATGAAACTTGTTGCTTCGATAGTTGAAAACAATAATGAAGATATGGCGAATAAAATACTTGAAGAATTAAGTCTTTCGGGAAATCTTTTAGAGATAGACGGGCCCTACAAGCAAAACATGAAAAGGGTTTTCGAGACTCCTTTTGAGCAGCTGCCATTAGTTGATAAGCATGCGCTGATTTCGTTAACTGTGTTTTCTTCCGGTAGAATAATTAAAGATGCTGCAGTTCACGTTATATCTGATGAAATTGGTTTCTTGAAACCTCTAGGGAGTCTTAACACACTTGTGAAGAAGTCACTAATCGATGTAGATCCCTGTGGAGAATATTACACTATTCACCCTCTCATTCATTCTTTTGTTGTGGATAAAGCAAAAGAAATTGATTTTGTGCATGTCGTCCTATCCTCTATAATTCGCTTTTCTAGGTATTTCTTTCGTCGTTTTGAAGAAATCAATGACGATTTTCTTTGTGGGAAACCGGTGGACATTGCCAAACTGCAAGACGAAATGGAGCATCTGTCGATTGCTATTCATTATTTTACAACAAGCACGTGTAGTTTGGAAAATTGCCAAGATCTTTTTCGCATCTTCTCCAAGTCTGAAATATTTCTTTTTCTCATTGGTTTACCCCCCGTTGCATTGCTAGATATTTCTAAATTATATGATGATGCTATAGAAAAATGCAGAACCCAGCAATACAATTACCCTTACTCAAAGTTGTATGTCAGCAAATATTTTCAAAATATTGCCTTTTCCAGCCTTTTTTTCTTGGAGGTTGAGTACTTAGAAATACCTGAACATATACATGAAGACGTCTTGTTATTATCGGATGGTAGTGCAGCAAAATTAGGTTGTTATGAAGGAATTACAATTATTTCTAGAAGAAATATTAAGGCAGGTATTGAATGTATTGAAAAACATGTCAATGGTTTACAAAATTGCGCTGATCAACAACTTATAAAATGCTTGTGCCTGCAGCTTCTTGCTCTCTTTGATACCGATTTAAAGGAGTGCAGCAAATCGAACAACTTGAGTAAAGAGGCCATAGAAGTTTGTAAAGAAATTGGTAATTACAATCTCTTTTTAATAGGTGATTGTGATGAAACTTTATCTATGACGCAACGGGAAGAACATAAAGGCGAGCAATTAATAGTGTTCGTTTATCTTTTATGTATGTGGTCAACACTAATTAATTTAGGTAATGAGACACAACACTACTTTTTAAAATTGGTTCGTCAATTAGAGCAGCAGCTAGAAAATAAGGCATTCAATGCTTCACAATACTTATTTCAAATATTCACATACGGTGATGTTATTTTAGCTTGTCTTGGTTTTGGTGCAGGACAAGAAGTTCTTCTGGATGAAAAGATCACGTTTCTTGAAAAGTCAGTTATGTCTGGTGATTGTTGTTCCCGGACAGATAGAACATTTCCGATTAGGGCTGAGATGTCTTCGATGTTTTGTTCTGAGCGACTGCTTAATTGCTACGTTCTACAAATGATTAGGGACGATCGTAAAATTATACAAGGTTCAAGTGTTCTTGACACATGCCGTAGCGCACTTGATCATTCACTTAAACAGTGTGGTGAACAACATCAGAACACCGCGTTCTGTTACTTCAGAATGGGCTTGGCTGAGAATAATTTAGGGAATTACATTTCTGCTTGTAATGCATTTCATCAAGCTCTTGAAATTTTGACAGCCACTAATGTCGGGAACAGCAGCAGTAATGCCGTTCTAGCCGAGGTTTATATCGGGAAAGGAGAAGCGTATCAATGGTTAGACAAATTTGTATCTGCTATTGCATGTTTTGAAGAAGGACTGAAAATAAAACGGAAATTGTGCAGTGAAGATACTGAAGAAATCGCTCAAATCTTAGTTTTGCTAGGGAAGTCGCAACTATTTTCCAATGACTTATCTTCTGCTCTTGCAACACTTGAGAATGCTCTGCAAATAAGGAAAAAGCTGTATGCTGAAAAGCGAAGCTCCAACGGGTATTTAAATGTAGTTGAATGCTACTATCTTATTGGACAGTTGCTCAATGCGCTAGGTAATAACACTGAAAGTATAAAATGTTTTAAAACTGCACTTGAAGTTAGTGCGGATTGCGATCAAGAACGTTCATATATGCAAAGTCATATTTTTGTGGAACTTATAAATTTGAAGGCAGATGAAAGCGTGTACATGGAATTGTTGGAAAGTAGTTTGCTAGTGATCAAGGAAAATTATAAGTCGTTCTTGCCTATACTGTATTTAAGATTAGGTTCAAAACAAATTACGCCAGGAAAGGATAAAGCTGGCCTAGCGTTGTTTCAAGATGCTCTTGGCATTGAGTTAGAGATCACACTGAGAAGCAATTTGTTTATTCGATGGACGACGGTTTCATGCTACATTGCAATGGTTGAAGCTTTAAATAAGATTGGAAAGTTGAATTTGGCCAGAAAGGCAATTGACAGAGCAACCCAAGTAGCGGAATCACTTCCTGAAGGTACACGATATCGTTGGATCTTTCGATGTTATACGTGGAAGGGCCACGTTCAAAACTTAATGCGGGAATATAGTGCGGCATTGGAATCCCTTAAACACGCATATCTGCAGATTTCAAAACTTTCTGACGAATCCTGTGATAAATTGGAACAAGTTTGGTGTCATATGAAGATAGCAGCAGCTCATTCATTTGTTGGATCTTATAAAGATTCGCTTACGTCGTTGTATGAAGCATTGTCTGTCGTCAAAGGTAGTTCTTCTGAGGGAAGCACAGCTGAAGCTGCAGTATATTTCGCTGTGGCCAAAGTCTCCAAAAAAATGAAAAACAAAACGTTAGAAGTATATAATTTGCGCTTAGCGTATAAGATGTGTTCAAAAGTTCTAGGAGAAACCCACTCCAAGACAGAAGAAATCTACATTGCATATGCCAGAGCTCTTATACGTTAATTGCGCATGCCATATAATCGTCATATCCGAAATAAAATCGTAAACTGTAGACTATCAACGACGTTTTCTGGGACACAGCCGGTTGTTCGTTTAAGGTCAATGCTGCATTTCGTTATTGGTAGAGGTTTGAAACACTTGTATACGGTTCTTTGGACTTGGTGGTTCACTGCTTCAGAGAGTTTTCTTAAGAATTATATTTCCTGTGGAATGAGCTTTAATGTCACTTCAATGACAAGACTTGCATCACCCGAAAGTTCGAAAGTCCTGTAAATGTAATACAAAAAAATGTGAGCCATCGGCCCATCGTGTGGGCTGCTGCAATTGCTTTTTATTATAAACGTTCATAGCCGTAGACAACAATGTATGTAGTTGTCTGCAATATAGCAATACTCAATCACATTACGTTTGCATGCAATGCACCACACATGACATCTAGACTTTTAGCTGTAGCTTACCCACAAATTTATAGTGATGCCCTGGTAGGATACTCTGCACTTGTTGTTGGTCTGTAATTAATGGCGTTCTTTTAGAAGGGCCTACTTCTTTTGAAGGTTTGACTGTGGACACCTGTTTTTATATTTTCATCCATTCATGGACCAGGTTGTTAGGGAATATTTAACTTTTAAGAGCATCTAACAAGCTCTCTCTTACGAACAAATTTTCAAAACGTGTAAATTATAGGGAGGAGGGAGAGGTAGAGGAATTCAACATAATACTTTCTTGGTGTGCTCCTGTTCATCAGCTCTTTAATTAATACTACTTATTATGTAAGAACCGCTCCAATAACAACTTCAACAACTACGGCAACTGTAACCGCTGCAACAATTGTGGAACAATGAACAGGCATACGGTGTTCGAAGGTCAGAAGTGAGATGAATACGTGGGAAGATTTTACATTCAGCAGAGAAGGATCCAGCTATATCAGGTAAAGCGTGAAAGATCGAGCTATGGTCCTTGCTTTCAATTACAACTTTCAATGTCCACAACCATTATTTTTCCAAATTGAACCCTTATCATATGCGGAGGAACATGGGACCAGAAAACATTGCCACTGTGTGCTTCAATTGATTTACATTCTAACTCTGAAATTACTTGTTGTGAGGATAAAACTGTTTCCAGCTTACACGTTTCGACCATAGTTGAATAAACCTTTTATTTCAGAGACGGACGGGACGAGGATATTAAAGATTCTTTTTCCTTCATTAAATGAAAATTGACCTTTGAGCTGAAAATCGAATTAACCTATTTCATACGAAAAATGAGACTGGATGTCTAGGGTGAGACGAGGATTATGATCTCGTTAACGGTGCTGTTGTAACCAAAAGAGTTTGAAAATCGATGGTTTTTACTATTTTGACTCGAAATCTAATCAACACATTTTGGAAATGGCAGTGATTCAATTATTGGATTTCCTGCAATAAATGTCAGAATAACAATTGGTATTGTTTCGGTTAAGTGGGAGCAATTATATATGACAAAATCATGACCTTCAGCCCGGACTTGCGGGTAAGATGCTATGAAACTAAGAAAAGCTAAATAATTTTTGAATTTTTTATCTTTAAACAAAGCTTGTTAAGAACATGTTCATTTGAACCAAGCCTTGAAAACAGCGTTTGTGTTGAAAATTTTTATCCCACTTAGACGAGATCTTAACATGCAATGCCAGAATCCTGTCTACTGTACAGCTCGCTATACAAGTTGTAGTTTGTTGTCATTTGCGGACATTCCAGTAATCTGAGCAAGAGATTTACTGAACTATTCAACTTTTCAAACCGTGATGTTTTAATAACCTGAAATTGAAAACGAAATACAATTTGCAGGAAATTCTCGTGCTGCATGTAAAATCATGTTTATTATTTGTATTCATGTTTATATTCAAATAAGTAAGTATATTTTTCAATGATATGATGCGAAGCTAGCCAGAGTAACTGATAATGCTATGCTATTATTATATGGCAAGCATCACTTCCGGTGAAATGGCGGACTGTGATTGGCTGAGAAGCACTTTCAGCGGTCCATTATTTTCGTAAAACGTAAAAACAAACGCATGCATTTTAAAACAAAACAGCAAAACAAATTGAAAATTTGAAAATTATAATTTAATTTGTTATTTGTGATATATCTGCGAATGGTTTTAAGTGAAATGGAAGTAATATATTGGCATTTTTTTGTTTTCTTCGATGAAATGTGTACCACGCTACTAATATGCATTTCAAATGATGCATTTCTTATTTGTTTCGACTATAAATGCCATATAATAAACTTTTTATTAACCTCACTTGCTCGGTCTTTGCAAAGAATGTCAAAAGAAATATCGGAACTCGGTCTTTTTGTACAAAACTCGCCCTACGGACTCGGTCTGTACAAAAAAGACCTCGATCCGATATTTCTCTGTAAAGACCTCGGGCTCGGTTAATTAATAAGAAATTATTAAACCTTGCATCTAAATAGTTGAAAATAGTACATTTGTAAAGGTTTGAATAATGCAAATCGGCATTAAAAATTTACATATAGCATGAGCTGTTGCCACTGAAAATCTCTAATGCATGATTGAATAAACCTTTCTTATAATGACGTCTAACATGGAAAATGAATTTATGCATTGTCCCACAGGTCAATGCAAATCGTTGGCGAGCCAATAAATTTCATACAAAACATAATTTGCATTGACCCTAACCTAACCTTTTGACCATTGACCCTACCCTAACCTTTTTTTTATATTGCATTAAGTGTTTTTCCGCGTTTGACGTCATTATAAGAAAGGTTTCTTAAGTACGCACGAAATCAATAATATATCAGTAGTTTAGTGTAAAGCCTGTTTTCCACTTCAAGCGTACCGTACCGAAACGTATCAAAAAGTTTTAAATTTCGTGAATGTTGATTGGTTAGTACTTCCGTAGTACGCCAAAAAGTTGACTTGAGACGAACTTTTCATTTTGATACGCGAATATACCCGGATGTACGTGGATTTATAAACCTCATTTCACTGATCTGCGCATGTTCACCAATACGTTTCGGTATGATCCGGCGAAGTGGAAAACCGGCTTTTAAGGATATTTCCGAGATAAGCCGTAAGCGTATTTTAGTATTTTAATATAGTTAGAAAGCATTCTTATATTATTGTATGAATATAAATTACTTTATTAATTATAAAATGTAATACATGCACTGCAGTTATACTTTCATACTGAATTGCATTGCATATTCAGTGTTCTTATTGTGCTTGCTATAATGAATATGTTGGAAATGTGGCATAATTAAAAGTATTATATGGGTAGTGAAGTATGTCGACAGATTAAAACTGATCTTTGCAAGGGATATAAATACCCATCGATTTGGTTTATTTGGGTATCAAGATTATTGCTAAGTAAAATGCAAGGGTAAATTGTTGAAGACCAGTTAACGATTGTGCACATTTGACATGAAAACATGGGTGTAATATAAAACGGTGTGAACACGTTGACACACGGTTGTCGCGTTGATTCATATATAATTTTCGTTGATTTCAACCTTTCAATTTTTAAAACATAATCATTTTCAAAACTAGAAATAAAAGTATGTAAAGAACGCGTAATGGTATATTAT